GTTGGACAACAAGGCTAGAGAAAACGTTGACTGTTTCCCATACCAGTTTTGTTTAATTTTGAATTGAAAATCCAATGTCTTATTAAATCAGGTTGGCCGCGTTTTGGTAATATTTATTCATTTGCTTCCCTATTATTCATTAACAAGCTCGATGTTCTCCGTTGGCTAGTCTGTTCACGATGCATCCACGAAGGGTATATTTATTTGAAACGACCAGTCCTTCCAGTTCCACTGCTTATGCATGTATTAGCTTAGCATGCATTGGCCCGTTCAGGGTACGAGCAGGAGAAAGCTATGTCGTAATAATTAGTATGCATAGTGGAATACATTACGGTTAGTAGGTGAGGGGAAAGTGTTGGCCTTTACTCGTCGCTTGATACGGTGAACCTAGTCCGGGATGAAGTATGCAGTAAGTTTCATTTTCACGGTTTGCCCACAATCCAACAAGTTCGCTCGCTGCTTTCTAACCTGGCCTTCTTCTTTGTCTCCTGCAACTATTGTAGTAGAATACATTTGCATGTTTGACAACCCGGTCGGGCACTAATTTAATTAGAACATGCGGACCGACGGAAAGCCCAAAGCAGAAGTAGCAACCCGCTCTTGTTTATTCTTGATAAGGAACGATCCCTTGCATTAAACATGTTTTGAACATGGAGATTTTTGTAATATATCATAAGCAAGGATAAATGTCGATCACGATGGAATCAAGAAAATCTACACGTTAATAAAACAATCATTGTAGAAATTGCAGAAATTAAGAGGCGCCTAACTGCTAAATATTTAGGTCAGAACTTTTGTCTAGAAATATTTCAACAACGACCGTATAGCTGTTGTTCTCTGTACAAAAACCTAGGCGCAGAACATGCACTTTGCTGTAGCTCAAGTTGTTGTTGCTGCTGACCCAACGAGCAAGCTCAGGAAATAAATTTCAATTTCCTCTGCTTGGTGTTATGTAAAGGCGTAATTCAATGTTGAAATTGACAGTGTACAAGTTTTTTTGTTGCTAGTAGTGCATGCTGGTCAGCTCGCCATGTTTACGGGTTCTGCTGCACTTGCTGGTGTTTCTCCCGTCGACAAAGTACAACTTCTTGCTCTGACATAAATGTGGAAATGATTTATGGCTGGGAATGTCTTGACCCTAACGACACAGTAAACTTTGTATTCCAGCGGCATTAAAAGGATGTTTTCTGCAAACATTACGTAATGAAAACATATGAGATGTTCACCCGACTAATTTGTTGGAATTTCACTCATAGTTGTTTGGCTGGGTGCAACTCGTGAGGTTTTGCTGTGTACCATGTACAACGAGTGATCTCTCTCTCGAGTCATCTCTGTTGTGTCGAACATTGGAATGAAACACTGGTCTGGAACAATGAACAGACATGTAATTAAGTTAATTCGATTTCTACGAAACTTTTCAAACTTTGCGGACATTGGTCAGCAGTGGAATGTCATGTCCTTTTGTACGAACTGTCTGTTTCTAGACAGATAGCTAACAAGGTTTTTATTAAAATATTTAATCTGTAAGGTTCAATTCATATAAAATACAAGTAGGACGTTCCTATATGCATCTCTAGAACAGTTTATCTGGGATCATCTCAAGTTGAATATTGTGAGCAAACGTGTTATCTCAGAGCAAATTTAGTCTGTTACAAGTAAGTATATTTCACGATAAAAAAGCTGCGAAACTCAATAATCCCTCAATTTCCTCGAAACACAGATTTCCTTGGGATGATTGTCTCCCTTCGTGGATATTTCAGAGGATATTTGGATGGGATGCTTGCAGGATCCAACTACCTCAATATGCATGCACTTACATATATGCACATGTGCTCTTGAAGAAGAGAGGATTTTGTAATATTTGATAGGATTTTCTTGTCGTCGTTGCTTTCACACAATTTTCTGTCTGCCAAATAGCAGCAAAGCGAAGCTTCCTGACTGAGGCAAGTGACTGCACAGTGAGGAAGTTGTTTCGCGATCAATTTGGAGAATAATGTACTCAATACTTTGTTGAAATGAAGGCACTTGGCCACTCGGCAGGCAAGGAGGAGAGCCGTCCGTAAGTACGGGCTGAGTGCGGTGAAAGCAGTTTCGACGCACCACCACCACCACTCTCGTATCACACTCTACACACTTCTTGCATTTATCTACGACCATTTTGTCACCCATTCTTGCGTCTTTTTTCTATTGTCCAACAACCGACTAACTGTGGGAGTGTTTATGGAGCATCGTGGTGCTGCTGTCCTGTCTGCAAAACACGGATGCTCAGTCATGATGGTTGATGGAGGTAAACGACTCGACAAGGACTTACTTTCACTCACTGAGTTTTTCTCGTGAAAATAACTTGCTTGAAAAGGCAAAAAGGGTGGAAGAGACCGTTTGGACACTTTCCAAGCCAGCAAGTGAGTATATGGACCATTATCCCCATCGAAATGCAGTGCGTAATTTGTGAACCACTAAAGAATATCTGTGGGTGGTTGGTTTCCTATTAGCCGCCAACACACATATATGCATCATCAGTGGCTTATTCGCCTACGGGTCGATAGCTGCGGAGAAAGTAAAAGAAAGTCCCAATGGAATGGAGGCCCAACATTGGCTGCAATACATAATTTGTCGCCCGGCACATTAAAGACGTGGGTGGTCCCATATCATATTTGTTCAGTATTTATTACACACAGCTTTTGATAGAATATAATAAGCTATTTACACCTAAACAGGTATATGGTCATATCATAAATACGTAGGTGGTGCATTCCTATTATAAAAAGATTGAATCGAGGGATACCATTAAACAATAAGTTGGGCAGATGCATATGAATAATTGACACTTTTCATGAATGTTAAAGACTCGAAATTTATTCAAATCGGGATTGAGCCACGGCATTTCAACCTCCTCCTGCGTCCGTCCTAGTGAGAGTGAAAGTAGTGGGAATTTATTCCATATAAACAGAAATATGGTGGGTGATAATGCATCTGCATCTCATATGAGGGGACGACTCTGCCGAAAGTGCATTAGTTGTTACAACTTTTGTGGGGAAATTTCTTTCCATTTGTTGCAATGCATATTTGTTGAAATAATCAGAACCATGTCCACAGGGGGCGAAGCAGAGGATGCAAAGCTGAGCCAGTTTTATCATCTGACTGATATCTCACTTGGATCTTTCCCCAGTTTCTGGAATCAGATAATGCACGAGAAGAAAGTAATATACGGTGCACAGAGCCCTGCATGCATGCAAATAACGGGTACAAATTGAACCAGAGAGACTTTCAAAGACAAGGAAGGTCTGTGTTCAGCGAGAAAAACAAAGTCAGAGACGGACTCCGGTTGATAGCTCTCGCTATACATGTATATCTCGACACTGTTAAAAAAAGGCCAGTCTGAGCCAACACAGTACGAATATTTAACAACTCCCTCAGCAACACTATGAAAATTGCAAAGGGAACTTTGGGAATTTCTTCTCTTTTCAAAACCAACCCGAAGGAAGAGGTCGTCGGATAAGGAAGAAGAAGAAGACGGAGAAACTGGGAGCAGGAGTGGTGGAACCGCATTCTATTCATCACAGCATTAGTCGCATTAGACATAACGAAACTTGTACAATCCAAACAAAAAGCAACACCATGGAGAGTTCTCTCCCTCTCTCGCTTCCCTCCTTGGAAAAACATGCTCCAAAAGAGAAAAGGAAAGTGGCAACTCCAGGTCTCGGGCCCTGCTTCCTCTCCGCTGCCTCCCTGCTTCCTCAACTTTTTTGTTTCAATATATTCATGCTACCACAAAAAGGCTGTTCTGAATTTGTATATGGAAATTTTAAAACATACATTATCTTATTCCTGCCCTGCTTGGCTGTTGTGCCAACTCATAACCAAACCAATTTTCGAACATCACGAAACATCAGTAAAGATGCGCTCCGTCTCCTTTCTTGGGTCCCACGGAATATGTATAAGTAAATCTTTTGAGGTTGGGCAAGAAGGTTTACACGCAATACTTTCCAACGCTTTATTGTTGCCTGTGAACGTGATAACATCGGTATTATCACCACAAAAACATGTGGTTTGTTGACGGTATGTGTGTCGAGGTAAGTAATACGCAATATGTGAGTATACTCGCTGTTTGTGGAGAAGGTCCACTTGGCAGAGAAAGTATGTTGGGTGGTGGTGGTGGTGGTATGTGACGACGGCGGAAAGATTGTCGTTTTACAGGAGGCAGGGGCCGTGAATTGTAGAGTTCCGGATTGCTGGAAGCCACGCCAAGGCAAAACGATCTTTGTTTGCATTGCTACTTTGAGTTGAGCTAGGAAACGGATGTATCATTTATTTATTCGCAATGTCCCATTGTGGACTTGTGTCAATTTGATTTAACATTCCTTGTTTCTTCCCGTGTTGGCTAAAGTTTATGCCTCCAGCAGGAAAACACCACATTCAAAAGTTCTCCCTTTGTACATCCTTTCAAACCGATGAAACCAAACCAAACAAAGTTTGGCATTTGTTCCTCATATCTGAATGTGGTGGAAACGGCTCTCTTTTCCTAGCTTGATATTTGACCTGGATATGATGCGATTATGAAACGCCCCCGAGCATATACTGCATGAATAACACAATTTCCATCTTCCTTCACAAACACAAGCCAAAAATTATGGAGACCTTGTTTTGCTAAAAAAGGATCATCCGATATATGGAAGGACATTTTATGTAAACAAATATTTTATTGAAAAATGTAATCACATATTTTCTATGAAGTATTTATAATTATCGTTTCACGTTAAAAAGTAACAGTGCTTAATGTAAAATTTCTCCCATTACGTGAGTCGTGCATCGCCGTAAATCAGAGCTTACTTATTAGCTGGGTAGTTGAAAGGGATAAAAACGTCGCACCTGGAATATATAAAATATCTACCTGAACGTGATGATAATAAATATTATCACCGATATGTGATGGATTTGAGTTTACTGCGTCATAATTTTCCAACCAACCTGTGGTTTCAATTTGGAGTTTTTTTATGAAGAAGTGGGTGTAAGCGGACTATACGACCCCGCATTTCTACAATACATATATTGATAGATGGATAGTCAGAGGGAGAAAGGAATAGATCATGGATGGAGATGAGTGAGAAGAGCGAGGAGAAAAGTGACGACGAGGGTTAATAATCCACCAGACCCGTTCCCTCTGGGGACACCTGAAATAAATCAGACAAAGGCTTAATCTCCCATCTCATCATCATCGCCCAGCCACTCAATACAGCAGAAAGAGAGAGAAAGAGAGAGAGAGAGGCGCATAGAATGATCTCTTTCTAATCTTAGACAAGATTTCTACGGCTACCAGAAAGTATGGAGGTCGGTAGCGGTGGAAAAGCATCAATGTCGAAATCCTATAATCAAATCTTGCTCAATTTCCGACAAGTTGAGACTTAGCAATCAATCCTTCGCTTCATTTAAGTCCATTATCAGAGAAAGAGGAATCTTTTTTGAGGAGAGATGAGAGAGATGCGATTGGAGAAGGCTCGTCAGGGAAAATTCTTATTACTCACCTGATAACAATCTATTTGGTCCTGCTGGACTGGACGGCTGTGCGTTCACGTTCACGCTCGCCTCGTACAGTGTTACATTCGACACCCAGTATCCATTTCCAATCGTGGCTGTACATCTGCAATTATTGCTTTATTTTAAGACTTGCCATAATTTTTACCACACAGAAATACGTATTTTGCTAGAGTTATTTTAATGAAAGTATGTAACGTATTTATTACTTTATTCGCAAAGCCCCATTTTTCAAATGCATAACTTCAACTTGAAATTCTAGCCCCAGGATGGACGTCTCGAGTCCATAAGGCTCCAATGCCGGTAAATATTCAATCATGTCGCCAAAATTTGCCTAAAACGAGTGAAAATTACGAAACGGCACATTCAGCCTAATTTAACAGCAGTAAAAGTTACTTGGGTAGAACTGACTAGTTGGTATTTTCACTTACCTTTCCCTCGTTTAAATAGAACATGAGAGAAGCAGCTGGTTTACTAGCGTACGACGTGCAATTACATTTTAATACGTCTCCTTGTTGAATCAGTGGAGGATGGCAATCTATGTGCGGCAAATCTCTTGGGGGGGCTACAAAATTTAATTCAGTGTTACTAACTTTCTCCACGATACGAGTGACATTATTATGGTCGAAGATAATGGTGTGGAATGTCGAAGTAATAATTTGAACCAAATCCTTCCTGTACATTTCCAGTCACATACCCGTGTTTAATATATTTATAATAACACCACCACAATCCTGAGACATGAAGCTAAACAAGTACTTGCATATATTGTCAACTTTTGTTATTACGTGTCTCGTTCTACCATATATCTCAGGAATACTTTCTAAAATTGAACGAAATCTCACCAGTAACAAATAATTCTCCAGACTGCGAAAGCGTTCTGAAAGAGGGGAGATCAGCGCTGACTTCGCACCTACAATTTTAGAATCATAATTAAAAGCGATTATGCCACAATTAAAAGTGAAGCGACCATCACCAATTATTTTTTTTCAGTCAATACAAATATTTTCTTCACAGACTTTCATTTGAGGTTGAATTAGGTAAGAATAAATTATTTCATTTTTTATTCCATTTTTGCCTCACCTGTACGAGCCACTGGATCGAAGTGAAATGTTTCTGAGCACCACTTGGTTCATGTTTGACTGCGTAATCTACATTCATCAAACATTTTGTTCAGTGAGTGAGTTGAATTTCACAACTTGTTTGCTCCATTCTTCACACCACTTGTGTCAAGAGTGGTGGCGAATGTGTGGAGGGTTGGGAGTTGGGGAAAGCAAGCAGGACTGAGAATGTGGTGGTTTACCTCTACAAAGACTCCGTCAATGGGGAAAGTGAGGATGAATGGAGTGCTTTGTTCAGAGTAGCGAAAAAATTCGTGCCCATCCTTGTACCATTTTAGGACTAGAAATGTGTCTTTCTCCAAATCAAAGAAGCAGCCCAGAGTGACACCTCCGTCCTTTATGCCGTATTGTGGAATGGATACGTTTTCCAGCCGGAGACTGAGACCTGAAAGAAAAAGTTAAAATAGATTCTTGCATTTTTGCAAGATGGAATTTTTTCTCGCTCATAGTAACGATGAACGAACGGACACGGTGACACCTTGTCCGAAGATGGGTATTGATGTCACAAAGAAATTGTCATTATTCCATCTCTGTTTTGCACATCATTGTCATCCGCCTCGTATTCAAAACTTGTTGAGACGATTACCTCAACTGGCACCATGAAATCAAATCATCAAATGAACCCTAGTGGGCATCTATTTTTAACTATGCTTGATAAGAAAGACGCTTTCTTATCAACACAAGCTACAGTTGATGCCCAACCAAGTCCTGACGTGTCTTTAGTTGAAAAACAACGCGAAGCTCATTTGGGCAAGCAAACAAGCTTCCCATCCCTTACTCGGACAGCATTTTATCCTCATCCAGTGCTTCTTGTCGTGGTCGGATCTCCTCCAGCCAGAACATTTTTAGTTTTACAAAGTTTCAATTTTTGACGGAAATTCACTTTACAAAAGGTAACTCTAGACAGGATTAGTGATTTGTTGAGTGACAAAAATTAAAATTTCTTATCGTTTGTTATTAAATTAAACATGTGTTGTAGATAAATTTTTCCACTCTTTTTATAGAGTTTTTTGAGATGTCACGACCACGTCGGTCTTCTCGTTTGACCAATCCGGTTAATTATGCAGAGGACGATAAGGCTGAAGGTAAAACATATTTTGATTATAGGGAAGAAAAAATGATCATATATTTTGTATTAATTAATTATTAATGTTGTTTTTTATTCGTTTTTAAGAATCATGTCAGTCGTCTGATTCATCCTCAAGTGATGAAGTCGTTAAATGTCCAGTTAAGGGGAAAAAGAGCAAACCGGTCATCTCGTCGGATGAAGAAGAGGAGAAGAAAGTAGAAAGTAAGTTTCTTTGTGCATATTCCTAAACAATTCAAGTAATAATATTTGCATTGCATTTTTATGCAGATTATTATGACGAGTTTGACGATGAAGACTTTCATTTCGGAGAAAGGACTGTTCCACCAGAAGTTGTCGAAACTTTGGATAGTGCAGCCGGACCCAGTGCCGTAACAGAGGGACCGGAAGTTATATATTCATTTTATCCTCGCCTCCAAGCTGAACGACTCATCGCCGTGGAATGGTTTAAGTCGAAGACACAGAATCAAGCCGTACTAGACATCATCATGGCTAAAGCTGGGGTCACCACAAGAATGACAAAAGAGATCCATTTTGCATCCGAATTGGGCTACTACGTCTTGAATGGAAACAACAAGGGGAAGCCAAAACGACAGAGTTTGGCAAATTATTTAGGCAACAACTGGAAAACGTCTTGTTCAGAAGCAATGCAAAGAAAAAATGCAAATCCAAGAAATATAGCCATGAGCTTACTTTGTACAAGCAAAAGAAAAGCACTGACTCCCAACATGGACATTTTTTACTGTGCCGTACTCTTATACATTCCTAAAGACTTCGACTTGGATCCGTTTCGGAACGAAACTCGTAGTTGGAGTGACCTCATTACTGACCCTTCCATCAGACGACAATATTATTTTGGAAAATGGAAGTCTGAAGACGGACAATTCGGGATGAGATGGTCTCATTTCACAGCACGTGACAAAAGAAGCAGCCAAGTCAAAGATCGTTTACTGGATGAGAAAGACCCATGCATCTGCTTGGAATTAATTGTCACTCTTTGTGAAGAAATGTATGTCGCAGAGCAAACTGAAGGATTTTGGATGGTACGTTAATCAAACATAACCTTCATTCTTACATAATATATTATCATTGCACCACCTCTAAAGTCGCATGTTTGTGTTTCCTCCGTTAAGGCATATGGTGACCAGATGAACGTCATGACGGACTCGGATTTGTTTATCATAACAAAACCCGACGCTACCATCCCGATTGCGAAAGAAGCCACAGCTAGGATGTTAGCGAACGACCATGAAGAGGATGGAACTTCTTTCTTTAAGTTTATTGACGAAGACGAGACGCCATACCCCCCCTATTTTGCCACTCTGGACGAATGTGAAGCTGGTCATTTCTGTATTAAAAAGTCTTCTGTCACAGAGAGGTGGGTTTCAGGAACCCGAGAAGATAATAACAAGTACAAAATTATTCGTGATGCAACTATTCAATTATGTCGTTAGATAATATGTTATACTTACGTAAAAATGAACTTACATACATATTTAGTTCTACTTACATATTTAATGAAATAAAGGTACTCAAGATATACAAGAAATGCTAATATAAAAAATGCAGCTTATCATTTGTAATTTATCATATAATTTCACCAGTGCTACAAAGGGCAGAACAGGAGAAAAAAGACATTGATTTTAATAATATATCTTTAAACGTCCACGGGGCATTATTAGTCTTAACAAGAATTCACCGATAGTCTGAAATTATTCAGGGAAACGGTGCTTTCTTCAACATTTTATCATAGCCAAAACTTTGTCTCTAAAAGCAAGTCGCATGAAATTTGTTAGTGAAGCAATGTGTGGTAACAAAAATCAGCATTGCAAAGTATGGAAACCTAGGAGGAAGACGTGATAGTGAGTTGAATGCATATGGCATCTGGCATACAGCGGATGCAAGCATTGGCTCTTTCTCACCCTCATTTTTCATAAGAGTCAAAGCAATATAAAATTTTACGACGGTAGGAAAAAGGCTACTTTAGCAAAAAAAAAACACACACACGAGCTCAACCATCTCTCGCTTCTTATACATTTTTGAGAGCAAAACAAGGATGGCTGCTCCGTCCCTCACAAGATTCTCAATTTTGGGACAGAGTACATACATGGACGGAGCGAGGCGGAGAAGAAAACTGGGAGAAGAACAAGGACATCGGACTAACGGTCCAAATGAAGTCATAACATAAACCATAAACAAGTCTTACATCTCGAAATGTATGCAAAGTAAAGTTGTAAATATTTTACATCTTCTCCATTTACCGTCTCAATTGAACTTTCACACTTTCACTTATGATAACATTTCTCCTCACTCAATACATTACTCCTCGCTCAAGTTTCAATATGAAAACTTTAGGAAACATTAGCATTTTAGTAAAATTGGCAATAGAGCCTTCTCCCAGGCTTCCCCGATGTAATATAGCTCGCCGTCTGCCATACATTGTCTTCACATCGCGTTTTCACTTTGTTTTTAGATTGAGCTATTCGCCTTGAACTAGAATATTTCCTACTTTCTAAAACTGCAGTTAATGACTCTTATTCTTAATCCCGCTTGTCGAGTAATTTTACTTGGAGTGTAATTCATACAAAGTTTGCGGTTAAGAAAGAGTTGGTTATAGCCGAAATGTGACTCCTAGGCCTGCTTTATTATATGGCATGGTGGCAAATATAGGGGTGCGTAACCATTAGTAGTGAGATTACGACCGACCGTGGTGGCTGAACATAATTGCTGTAGTGGCGGTGGATTGGGTAGTCAAAGGATTGGGATTTGAAGTACCAGAGACAATTAGAAATTGGTAACTTTCTACAAAGGTGCACTTGAACTACTCAACAAATGCAGTAAATCTAACTGCAATGTCGAATTGAACTTTTCAGCGGCACTTCCAGCTAGTCCCAACTGGGACTCGGACTAATTTAAGTACGGAAAATTAATTTCGTCATTGATGATATTTTCACCAAGTTTAGACAACTGAAAGACTAGTCTTGGAATGTTTGTAGGGATATTTAGTTCCCTACTACTTGCTCCTCACGAGGCCGACCAATGCAGCTAGAAACTATCCAATTTAATAATAATTCACCAGAATCTCGGGAATCACTAACCAAACCAACCAACATCAGCCACAAGAGAAGAACAAGAGTTTACGACAAGACCAACCGACAAGAAAATTTGGGTTTGTGTGGAAGCATATTCATGGAGAAAGCGAGGCGAGAGGAGGGATCCTCCAGTAGGAGAAAAGTCAAGGAAACTTTCTCATAAATTTTCGATCCTTGGAATGAAATGTCAGAGAACCGTCAAGAATTTATAGAATATTCACTCATTCATTTCCCCGCATTCTCTTTACTTTTCCGTTCCTCTCTCCACGAGGAGCTCGACTAACTAAACCACTATCCACTGGAACGACGCACCCATTTATGGTAACGGCTTCAAGTGTGAATTTACACGAAGGGAAATGAAGTATTAATGAAGCAGACTGGGATTTATTTCAATTCTTGTGCGGATTTCCTCCTCAGTTTTAATTATCCCCTCGGCCGCAGTGGGAGTGCAATCCTGTTTACTTCAACGTCTTGATTATGCTTATTTTGTTTCCGTCAAATAACATTCTTTGTCTCTTCATTCACTGTCCGACCGAGTCAGTCAGTCAGTCTGTCTGGCATTACATTTGCCATTAGTTAATGATGCAAGTTTTGGCTGAATCTCATGCAGGTTATTTATTATGTACTAATGTACTCTTCTTCCAACCCAACAACGTGAGGACAACCGTTAGTTTTAGTTATGCATTGTGACTAAAGTTTCATTTTAACAAAACGCAACAAAGTTCCGTTTCACTTTTTACCCTTGTAAGCAAGCGTGCATGTGTATGTACACATGCATATCTCCGCCATACACGGTTTGCTAGCCCTGCGTACGATAATTATCAAAGTTCAAACAAAGAGATAATGGTAAACTCTCACGCCGACGGAAGGTTTAGTAAAAGGAGTCGGCAGTAGTTGAGTTTGGTTTAATGATGATCTAAACCTCTGTTTTGTTTTGTAGTGAGAAGGCGGAGGCGGAAGACAAAAGTTTTCTCTTATTATTAAGAAAGTCCAACAGTCAGAAAAGTTCTGCTCCGTTATCTGGACGAGATCAGGAGAGGAACGCCAACAATTCTGTCGCTCTCTTGTTCTTCCATGGTCTCGAGCTGTGAATTCTGATTGTGCATTGGATGAGATGATGCTGGGGATGTAGATCGTAGTGCAGATATCCTACGGCGACGGCGGTCCTTTCTTTATATATAAATACTCCCAGTGTCTCTTCTTTCTTTCTCCGCGATCTGCCGTTGGATATGTGGCTGGCATTCGGTTAGTTAGTTACTCAGTGGGGATACTTGATGTCTTATCTCGCACAATGCAGCATGGCATGGGAGCCACTTTATTTACTGCCCTCGTTGGAACCTTTTCAAACCATTTCCGTTGGCTAAAAGCAAAACCTGGCTAAAGGAAACAACTTGATACAATTCCAGAGAGTGATGCCATGAAGCGAATTGTTGCGTACAGCGTAACATGAGAGAAAGCCAAGGAAAAAATGTCATGCACTTGAGAAGGAGATGCATTGCGAGACAGACAGATATTTACACACAGAGAAAAAGTATGTAGACGTGCGGGCAGTGGAAACAAACCACACACACACGAAAAGAAAATCAGTAGAGAAACTGGACGATGGAAACAGAGAGACAAATCAAGAAGACATTATTGAATGAATGAAAGTCTTACCCCAATTGGCCAGGAGTGCACAAAGTAAAAGTTTCTCCCCCATGCTGTTGATTTCAATCGATTACTTATTCCGTATGTTAGTCAGTTAGTTAGTTGGGGTTTATACTTGACTTGGCATGTCAGTCCTTGTCGCTGTTGATGATGATGGTTCTCCCTTTCGAATAATTTGTCTGTTGCTTTCACTCATGCGACGTACTTTTCTGCCACATTGGCAAGTGGGAAATGTAAGACAGATTTACTGCTCATTAGAGAACGTTTGTAACACGGTCCAGACAATATTTGTACATACGTACGTGGGATTTCTGGTACAATGACAATTCAGCAGAGTCGTGTGATTTTGTGTTGGACTTGTTTGGTGAAAGTTATGTTGATTCCTTCTGCCTGAACAAATCAAAGTGTTTGTTGATGCCAACACTTTTGTTGCTGTTTTCCTCAAATGGTTTTATTCTGGCACTACCACTCTGCTCCGCTTAGTCAAGGCTGCGAATTGCCTTGTGGACCACTTGGGACGGGGGAAAGTGGGAAGCAAACTGGAGCAAATGGCGATAATAGTGCACTTGTCCCCAACAAAGCAGGAGACTGTCAGAAGGATGACACTTTACAAACCAAAACAGTAAAGTTGGGAGTTGTTACATAGATTGGGTGCACAAGTGGATGATGGAACAAGTGACTTGTGTTGTGTCAGAGAGAGAGGGAGAGAGAAAGTGACGGAAGAGAGAGCAGACCACAAGTGACGAGGCACAGAACAACGGCGACCAAAATTCACTCGCCGCCTTCTCAACTCTCACTTTTGCATCGCTTGGTCCGTTGGTCGGTTGGTGGCTGGCTGGCTGCTTACTTGCTTCCAGGACTCCTGCCGCTGCTGGTGTGTGTTGTCTGAGTTCCGAATCTTGGAGAAAACTGTGCTCAAGATCGATGAAAACCCTCGAGTATATAACCCACGTATGTACGAACGTACGTATGTAACTCACACACGCTCCATACAAACTGACTCCAACTTTAAACTTGCCCCAATGAGTGGAACAATGGTCGTCCCTCGCACATCTTCTCCGCTGCACTTTGTTTCGTTTTCGGCTCCATGCTCGTGTTTAATGTGCAATAAGAAACGTTCGCAGAGGTGAAAGGATCCAGTTGTGAATAAAAAATATTGCAGATGTTATCAGGTGAAAGTTGCGATAATTTTGATTAAATTTTTCTGCGCGGTGATGAAGCAGAAAGAAATCATTTCTCTTTCTTCACCATCAAAAATTTAATCTGAGTTTGCCAAAAAGCGAAATGAATTTAGCCAAAGGCTCGACTTTTAGTGTGAGCCATAAAATATTTGGCGTGATTATGAAATGAATGTAGGAGGGGAAGAGCACTTTTACGGTAGACGAGTTTTACGGGGAGGGACATGAATGAAGGTCCACTCACTCGCCTTGCTCGAGTTAACAATCTAAAAAACTTTGAGTCTGTCTGTGGTTAGTCATAAATCTACTAAAAGAACAGAAGTCCAATTTGTCCCACTTTAATCGAAAAGGACATAAACTTTCCAATAATGTAATAAAACAGGTCACTTTTGTAACTCGACTAATCCCCAAACCACTACTCACAGCGAGAGAATTTCACTTGAGACCCACCAAAAAGATAATTTTGCCGCACCACTTTCACCGCATACTCGGCGCAAGTTAGTTAAAAAAGGTGAAAGTTAATGGTTGAGTTACGTCGTATTTCATTCAATGTTATATTTATGGCAATCGTGTCAGCAAAAATGAGGAAGATTGAGTGTCTTATGATAGCAAGTTTGGCCGGGCATTTTGTCTCATCGACGGCAGCACGACCACGAGCTATAAAACTTTGAATCCTTCACTGATAATGATTCTTGTGTCTTTCAGACCAGGATATAATCATTGCTTGAAGGAAAATCGCAGTCATTTTCCTATCCCGGTGGATTTGGGTTATTAATGCACATCCAGGGATTATGGATTATTGCGAGGGAGGATGCCAACTCACCTCCGTACTTGGCATATAGCAGCACATCCGCACCGGTCCCAATGGTGGGCATTTTGTGCAGAGATTTGTAATGCTCCATAAATAGTGCTAGCTTGCTATTATTAAATATTACTATAGCTGGTTTTGGTTACATTGATCAAGACTAAATGTCAAGCATGCTATGATTAACACAAAATTAGGAACCCCATCTTCACTTCGACCGTTATTCAATTTTACTGAGTCCTAGGAAAGTATGATTTTATGAATCAATATGATGCATGCATTCTACGTGGCACTGTCGTAAGAAATAATGGGCAATGTCGCACTTAAGAATATTAATATTACGCAAAGATCCTTTCCAGGCAATAAACCACGTCCTCCGAAGCACTACATGGCTGCTTCGAGCTAACTAATGCATTCGATCTCATTAAACCAAGTCGGAGGATTTAATGAAAGCAATAACCAACATGTCCATCGAGCTGAGCTTATGCTGGACTCACGCATTGATTCACAAGTGACATGTACAAGTTGCGCCTTTGAGCTTGGTCTTTTTTTCTGTACTTGAGATTGCAACGACTCTTCACTACCGGTCCAAAGTATATTTGATTTGAAAGATTTATCCACTTAGGTCCACCCGCGAAATTGTCTTTAGGTTATCAGTATTCTGGTAGCGATCACAAGATTTCCAAGTTTGAGACCGCCGTTTCAGCCAAGTAACGCACATCTTAAGCTGGCCTATCGATTTATCCGTGCCAAAGAGGGTTGCTATCTATTTGGGAAAATTAAGTGCACCTGTGCAGCAAGATCAGACGAGTGGCAGGATGCTGGCAATACAAGCACCACCTCTTCCTGAGGAGGTGACGATCACTTTGGTGCGGCGATGGATGGGGGAGGATAAGGTAAATAATAAAAGTGAGCCTGCCACTGGAAGAGAAAGAGAGAGAATAAGGGAACAAAATCCTATTTGAAAGTGAATTGGATTTCCATTCGAATCCTTTCGAGTAATAGTTTTCAAGAACTGTGTCACTTGAATTTGGACTCTCAGTTTGTTATCTGACAGCCCCACCAGCACTGTCTTCCGCCATCTATTACACCCACCCACCCATCCAGATGTATGTGTGTACTTTTTGTCATCCTCCTCTTCTACATGGGCTGCTGGATATCCTGTCCTCCTTCTCGTTTGTATATCTTTCTGCTTAACTTGTTCCCCATCTCCTTCTCTATCAAGCATCGAGAGTTTCTTTTTTGCCAAACTAAAAGTCCCAAAGTCTGCTGGAGAGCATGTTGATACGTATGAACTCACTTTTACTCAACTAAACTCTTTTTCATTCCATCTCCACCACTTACTTTCATCCACTTTCACCGTCCTCTCTATTACCCTGGAACTCCTCAATTATCCATATCTACATAAAATATAAGAAAAGTTTTCTTATCCCATAAACGCCGATATAAATACATCTCATTCAATTGATAACTGATCAATGGAACTTGCGAGGAAGATTGATTTTGATCTGTTACTCGTAAAAATCAAATCGGCTCAAGGCTGCGTGACCTAATGCAAAACCCACTTTCCAACTTTGGAAATTGATACGAATTTGATAAGGGAGATTGCATAAAATTGCAAATGTTTAGGAAATTTGAACTTTCAATTTATTGCAAAAGGGAGTTGGGTATTTATTTCTTTATGGAAGTTAGGTAGTGAATACATGGAAGAACTGCGAATTTCAAAAATCAGTTTCAAAAATCTTTGAAAATAATTATTGGAAATACATTATTAAATTGCTAGTAAAACTGCAAAAATGTAACTTTTAACTTATCAAAAAACTAACACCGGCACGTGAATTTGAATTTGTCAATGTGAAGCTGAAGTTCGATTTTGAACTGTAATGAACTGCATACTTTATTGCATGCTAATGTATAATTTCCTGTGAGATATGATAGAACGCGTTTGCACTGAATCGAGTAAAACAATTTAAGTATGAATCTGCATGTCTGTAGAGTTCGTGGCTCATTGCTCCCTTAATTGCTTATATTCAAGTTTTGGTATATCTCCATAAACCCGGGCTGAAATTGTTGCAAGTTTCATAATGCCATGTGGAAGAGTAATTTTCAAGTCGTCGCTCACAGTATGTGGGTGTCTGTTCATTGTCAGCCATTCGCCTTTTGTCTCTGAGGAAGCAGGAAAGAGATATAATTCACGAGCAAACAAAGTTATACATTCACAAGTGAAAGATTTATGGAACCCGAGAGTGATACGTTTACGTGCATTTTTATTGTTTTTCCTTGGGGTCCTTCGTCAAGAATACTTATTTCACGCAGCCATTTCGCTTCATGCCATTTTCTAAATTCTCCAAGTGAATGAGAACACGGTCGCTGGTAAACAATTTATAACTAAATTTAAAGAAAGCAAGAACGGAAAAGAAATAAATAACTACGAGTACAGCACATTGGGATTAAATTGTAGATCTCGTGTGCTAGAAAAATTTAGTTTGAAACATTTAAAACATTTCAAAATGAATTAAATCATCTCAAAACCATTGCCGCCCAAATTCTAATTTAAATAGATTACAATGCATGATTTTTAACAGAAGCACGCACAATTATAACTAGAAGCACTGGGTATAAAATCAGTAAAGGCGTTCCATTAATTATTTGTTTAACTCATGGTTCGCTCCTCGTGGAAACTTTATGAAACTCATAGTTCAAAATACTCGCAAGGATTTCTGATCATTTTTCATTTAGTTTGAGGTGACAACAGGAAGTACTATGTCATAAAAGACCAAAACTTTCACAGCTACACGAGAAGAAAGATAGCACAACGAACCCCTTTACAAATGGCCCCCAACATGAATAGGCTGCACGGGAACGGCAGCATCGGCTGAGAAGGAAACTTTGTAAAAGCTGATGGCAATATCCACTTCCGGAGTATGTACAAACCTGATTACCGCAAGACCACAATGTAACAAAGTGTACCTCTTCTTCTTGGTCCCACTCCTAGCCAGCTCACTTTCTTGGTTCCATCACCTCTATTGATCACCCATCGTCTCAATGATTTCCAATTTAGTCCCTAATTCCTTATTTCACCACCACGTAATTCAAGTTGCCCACTAAAATAATTTAATCAGCTTGATGATAAAATTATGTTTGGTCAATGGCGATCAGTTGGGAGGCCACCTTACATAATGCCCGCATAGATCAGTGTCATCTCCACCTTTCACTGGGGTTAAAGTATTTTCGATGACGGACGAGAACAGCCTATGCAGCATAACATGATTAGTGGTGGTGACGGAAACTCTCAAAAAGTGACACTGTGCTTTTCTGTCGTTTCTAAAAAAAAAGACATGAAATTCGATAAGGAATGGACAAGGATGGACTTCGATCAGGATAAACTCTAAAAGACTTTCCTTCCTTCATCGTCGTATTAGAAGAACTCGTTGTAAACTTTTGTTCTGGTTTTTGGTATCCTTTCATGAAACCAGTTTTGTTTCACGTTCTTACAATGTTTACCTTGTCTTCTTCTCAGTGGAGAACAAAACACTAATTCCTAGCGTACATAGAATTGAATCCTCGTGTGGACTAGTTGGCAGGAGCAAAGTGTTGGCTGGAGGTGATAATCGTGGTGGTGGAACCCTCTGAGGAAGAGAAAGCACAGTGTTATACCCCCAATTCTGACGTATCTCTAATTCGCCTCCCTTAATTCGCCCACAACACATCCAACTCGAACATTGAGTGTTCTGTAACAAAGGCCAAGTTGAAAAGTATCTTAGGAATCCTTGTTTCATAGCATTCTATTTTCTCACTCCCTCATTGTTTACTTTCCCTCGAGGCTTTCTCCGCTTCTTTATCTGTCCCATTCTCCTGATCCATTTCACTTTTTTCGTGCCAGCTCAATTTTTCGTACCTAAAATCAACTCCTGCTCACATG